TCATTTCGTTAAAAGAAAAGTTTTTTTCATCTCCACCCCCTCTCAAGTTATCGCTTCTTGAAATTTGTAAAATTTGAATTTTTGACACCTTATATTTCCGAAACCGCAAGCTTTTTCAAATTTCTATAAACACAAAAAGCTAACGGTAAATTCCATGATATTAAAAAAATATAATTATTTTTCTTAACTCACACAATTAACCCTTAAAATCGAGCATTATGTTAACCCCTCTTTATATTAATTTTTGCTTTATTTCAAACACTGCATAAATCGTTCATCCTAAATATATGCAATCCTAGAAATAACTTTGTATATGAATGAAAATAATTTTAATAGTGTGTTAGTTATACATAGACTGTATTTAAAAGCAGAATTTTCACTTGTTGAAGGGAAAAGTGCTACAATACAAACCATTGGTTTGACCCAACTTCATTAATAATACATATTTCAAATTCCTAAACATACTTATGTGAAGTTAGGCAGTGTGGCCTTGCCAATTCGGAAACCATAAGAAACCATAAGCTAGCTCGGGGTATTGTAAAATGCTACAATTAAAATTTGATAGATATTTTTTATATGAATTTCTCAAATCGTTATCCCGACTCCTGATCGTATTTTCATTATAAAGCTTTGAAAATTTGGTGCATATACATATATAAGATATAGTTTAGTTTTTTTTTATATTTTAATTAATTTGTATTTTTTTTTTCACTTACATATATTTTTTTAAATATGTAATAATACTTTTGTTGTTTTTTGCATATAAAGTCCTACATTTTTTGGCTCATACATATTAATTCGTAAAAAAAAATTAGTTTTGCTGGCTTCGTAGTGATGCATTTTCGCTACTGCTACGGAGCAAAGAAGTTTCATTCGAATTTTATTATACGTCATCCTGGAATGAAGCCTGGTCAATGGCTAATTTTGCAAAACTTCAAAATGTAGTGCGCTTGAAATTTGAATGATTGCTTTTCCGAAAATAAGTATATAGAATAAGATATAAAGTTTTATGTTGATTTTCAGCCTTTTACTAGCCCTTTTATAAAATTATTTATTTGAAATGCTTAATCTTTTTCGTAAAGAAAAAACTTGTGCAAGTAAAAATTTTTTTGAAAGATCGCTGTATCTAAAAAACTATTGAAATTTGGCATGTACCACGCAACAAAAGTTTTACTCATTTTTGATTCTTCAACCATTTGTATATATTGTTGTATACCTTTTCCAAGCATCCTGCATATAAAAATTAACAAAAATCTTATCGAGCAGTTTTTGGTTAATTTACTTTTGAACTTCCTTTTTCAATTTTCTCGGTTTGAGCTGACAAGAATCACGCAGACCATATTGCAAAATGTGTTCAATTTTTGACAATAAAGTACTACACAATGATGTGCTGTCAAAAAATGTGTTTGATAATGCGGTACTATTTTTGCAGTTTGTTTTATAACTACATTCCTACAACTGCATGTTAAGATTTTCAATATATTTTGTATTTAAAAAAAAATAATGTCGTTTAAATTTATATTTCAGTGAACTTAAAATAAAAAAATATAGAATTCAGTGGTTTCATTTTTAAAACTTTCAAAAGCATATGACTATCTCAGAACTTTCACAACTAAAAAAAAATTTTTTTTTTAAAAGCCAAATCAGTATTTGTAGCTGCGTCTTTCTGTTTTCTAAGATATTTAAGTTCTAATTTAAAAATCCAAAAGTATATTGCATTATCAAAAACATCCAAAATAATACAAAAAATAAATTTATTAATAGGTATTTATTTAGATTATTCAGGTATTAAAAAATTCTCAAATTCTTATCGCTTAAAAAATTAGAACCAAAAATAATACCCAATCATATTACTAGTTATCGATACAATGTGTTGTTTATAATTTTTTTATTGATTCTTATAAGAATAACTAATGGAAATTTCTGTTTGTAATGCAGCTGACAGACATACTGGTCCTAAGGGAGAGTAACATTTCACAATTGCCGAATTTACACGTATTCTTATGGAAAGAACAAAGGGTCCATTTTCACATCATAAATCTCCCACAAGATCAGATTTTTCCAAATTCTTAATTGGAAAGAGTTAAAATTCATTCTTTTTCTACTTTACTAGTGCTTACATTCTTAAAGTTTTGTGTTATAAGAACATTAAAAAATTTATTTTTTTGAGATTTCAATAAATGCTACACTTCAAAAAAAAAAATATGCATATTTTTTTTTCGAAATCATGAGTTGATTTTTGTGTATTTTTTTAAATTTGAGAAAATGTACATTCATACGAGTATTAGCAAGTTTGCTAATTATGTATGATAATTATGTTATGTCTCCTACTAATACATACTTCATGTACAATCATCTGTACATACCTATATTTATATGAAATATTAATTTAAAAAAGTATAATATTTTCACATTGTTAGTAAATCTAGTTCACTTTTAACCTAAACCCTCGGGAACTTTAAGAGCTTATACAAGTTACTTTATAATATTTTTATTATGTTTGTTTAACAAAAGCAATATATAATAATAACAAAAATAATTAAAACTTAAGATCTAATAATTACAAATTTAAATTCGAGCTTAAAATCTTTATTTAAAAGTTATAATCTTTAATCTTTATATACTTAAAATTTTTACTAACTTTATTTTATGTCGTGTATTCTAAATTAAAAATATAGCATTGTAGCATCAAATATTTTTTATTCAGTGTATTATAATTTTTTACCCTCAATCCTCTCAGATATGTCGCCTGACATGGGGATTCAAAAAAATGCGCAAATAGATTTAATCAAAATTATAGTTAAAATTTCGAGTTGAAATTTGAATTTTTGAAGTGTTGTTCAGAAAACTATAAGGTTCATTTTGTTATGAAAATTGTTAGGTTCTACCGAAGACGCATATATTTATGATACATCCAATTTAGTGTGAAATTTTTCGTCACAAAGGAAAATATACATACGTGTTTCCAATTTTTTTAACGACATAAACTGAGCTTAAATGAAATATTTATAACAATTAACCAAATGTTGTTATAAGATTTATTGTTAAAGAGGGAATGGAAAGCAAGGTGAAGTAAAATATGAACAAAAAAAATGAAAAAAAAAATGAAGTTACCAAAATAATTTTTTTTAAGATTTTTGTGAAGCGTGTTTTATGTTACGATATTTGTCTATATATGATTAGAATAAAATGAAATTTATAAAAATAATAAACAATGGTGTTTGTAAATTTTGGATAAGTGTTAACTGCTCTTCATTTTTTAATCTTCAATATTCTGATTTTAAATTTTCTAAAAAATTATGTTACTTTTTCAACCGCTTGGTTTATAATGTCATTCCAATGCTATAGTAATGTATATACGCGAAAGTGATTATCCACTTACAGGAAAATATTAGGATTTCTCTATGTAATGTTTTTTAAGACTCTTAACAAAACTTTGTTAAAAGAATGCCAATCTTTAATTTTTAAACGAAATAGTAAATTAAAAAAAGTATAATATTATTCTTTCTTAAAAAATTAATATTTTAAAAAATTTATTAAAAATTTAGAAAATCTATATAGATTTTCTCTGTTGTGAATACCTAAGGGACGTTTATAAATAATATAAAATTTGTATTTGTGGCTTAGTTAATAGCAACCGTATAGTAAAAACAGAAAATACTATTTTTTTTCAAATGTAATCTAATACAAGGATGGATTGAAAACAAAATTGTGTGCACACATTCCATCAAAAATCATAATTATTAATTTTATTCCTTATACCCTACGAACGTATGTACGAAGGGTATACTAAATTTGCCCTACCGTTTTTAACGTTAAAAAACAATGGTTCGAGATATAGACTCAAGTGTATGTTTTTGATTAGCGTCGAGTTTTGAGTCGATTTATCTTTGTCCGTCCGTCCCAACGATAACTCAAAAACTAATTGAGCTAAATTCACCAAATTTTCACGAATCTTTTATTATAGTAAATGCCAGAACCTATTTAAATTAGACATGATCGGGGTACTGGTTCGGGTAGCTGCCATACAATTTCAAAATTTTTTTGACTATATCTCAGAAATTATAAAAGCTATTTTATTGAAATTTTGTACAAGGGAATCTATTATTAGGGAAAATGTGTATGATAATAGTTGTTGATATTGTTTGGCGCCTTTTGATAGCTAACATACAACTTCTATAGTAGTTTAGCAATATATTAGAAAATATTGAAAGCACAGTACTGAAATTTTGCTTAAGTCGGTCCCATATATGCTATGGCATATATACTCGGTCGTAGGATAACAAATTCGTACGGGTATTACAGAGTACACACGATTAACTCTATTTTTTCTCGTTGTATCATAAAATTTATCAGATCACTAAAAGCAAAATTGGGTAAAATGGGTAAAATTAATCCAATTTTATTTTTTTTGCGTACGTAGTTCAAACAAAGTTTAAACGGAGTAACTTCGACCTTTTTGAAGCTAAAGAAAAGATTTCGGAAAACATTGTCGGAATTTGGAGAGGAAGTTTATCCGCTATGATATTTCGTCTCAAGTTTATCCAATTTTTTTATTTACTTCCATTCATCTAAATATTCATCTAGATATTGTGTTGACTAAATATTTTTGGTTCTTTTTCAGAACTTTATGGTAATAATTTTAAGTATCAACAAAATATGGAAATGGTCTGAGCATGAAAATAATGAGAATTTTGTTTTTGCAAACGAAAAACTTAAACTATGCCTTGAATTTACTATATTGAACTTTATCAATTAATTTTTTTTTATGTGTCACAAATTGATATATATATACGTATATAATAGAGCCTAGTAATTTAAAAAATTTTCATATTTTTCTTATTGGAGGAAAACTGCGTTAAGTGAATATTTATAAAATTGGAAAATAATTTTTTATAACTGTGTAACCTTTTTTTCAAATGTGTATTGTAAAAACATTCGTTTTGTTTGAGATCGTTTTTCAGGTTGACTTATTTGACTTTGTTGTCTTATTTGCCTACCGTTATTTCCCATTGATGAACGGTTGGTATTATATGAATTTCTACCGTTTTCAGCACCAATTCGTTCCATATATCGTCTTTCTTGTTTTTGTTGGTATGCTGCGAAAGACCTTTCTTGATCAGGAGTTTGCGGCATTGTTGCACATTCTTGGTCCAATATGAATACTTCTTCGTTTGCAATATCCATTATGTAGTGCAGATGTTCTTGAGCGCGATCTATACGAAAGAATCTTTCTGCAGTAAGCGCTGAAAATAAAAAAAAATCACTTCAACAAAAATATTTTTAATGTAAAATTATTATAATTATATCATACTTTATTATTTATCACAAAATTTACAATAATTATTTAATGCCGGCAATAAATTTTAACACGAAGTAGTCGGTATGAAAATTGATGGTCGGCATAAGGTGTATATCCTACTTTTTTCAAATTTTGAGTAGGTTTAAGTTTTTTCAATCGTCGACTTGACTCTTTAAAAGAGATGAATTTTTAGGGAAAACAAAAAAGAAAAATTAAATTATAAATATATTGTAAAAAATCATAAAGTTGTCATATAAAAAACTAAATTATAAAGATATTTCTTATATAAAAAAAACAAATAATTCTCTTTTATGAGTTCATACCTCCTAAACCGGTCGCAATATTCCATTAGACTCATCGAGGCTGCATGCTGGAACTCGTGGTCCTACGGTTATGGTAGAATTGTAAATAAATGCCTACCGTAAAATAGCATACGGAAGGAATTTCTTGGGGGAACGCCTGATGTGCTCACGTGCTATTGATCCCAAGATTAAGTTTCGACAAAATTTTTGTCGAAATTCGCTCTCGTAGCCTGTGGAAAGGGCTAGCACTTTTGACGGGTTTTGAGCTGGCATTATTTACCGATGGCTTTAAGAAGGGGGATGGGGTCGGTGCTGCAGTTTTCTCCTCGAAACATTGTGTCTGAATCGTATCGGCTTCCTGATGGGTTGATTGCCTTTCAGGCGGAAGTTTTCGTCATATTGGAAGCATGAGAGCTTGGGGGACTCTCTGTTGTGGCTAGTAATGTTGAAATAGTGACTGACAGCCTGGCTGTGATTCTGGCTCTAAGGTCGCTTAGGGTTTCGTCGAAGCTGGCTGTCCAATGCTGCCGTGGCCGGACGTTGGTATGCTCTTACCATAGTGAAATACTCCTTTGGATCGCATACCTATGGATTCCTCAAGAGAACCGGGTGGCTTAGATAGACCATATGTAACCGTACGCTCAATAACGGACTGGTTATCGCGGATAGGGGTAGCAAAACGGCGCATTTGTGCTAAATGGAGGTGCGGTAGACCTACACCGGTCACGTCAACCAACCAATCAAATAATTCAAAATATTTATAATTCAAAATATTTATAAAGAACAAAATGTATATTATATTTTGTTCTATTGATAAAATAATTATAAAGTGGTTATTACAGATTTGAGTTTCGTTAACAGCCGAAAAACGCTATTAACGTTCCTAAATCCAATAAGGTATTAAATAAATAAATTTTCTAAAAAATATTTGTCTTTTAACTTACAATCCACAAAACACCATTCCTGAGACAATTTTGGGTAGCCACTGGATTCCTCTAAATAGCTTGTAATTATATTTCTAACATTTTCCAAATCTGCAAACGGTTCAACTTCAATGTTACCCAAATTCGTTGCTGATTGTTTTATCATTTCTTTGTCATGGTGATAATGTTCATAGTCAGGCATTGTGATGCGCAATATTTTTAGGTAAATTGGTTCCATTCCGCTTATTCTATAATTACACATGTCATTTAAAATAATTTCATGAGTGGGTAAAAATATGTTGCTTATTTTGACTAACTTACAATTTATGCAATGTCAATTTGTTTAAATTAAGTGAATTAGCTCTAGATTAATACTAAATGCGTAAACTTAATTTTTTTAAATTTTTTATTTTCATTAAATATTTAGTATGTATGTATATTAAAATATTTAAAATTTTTAAATTTCTAAACATTTAATATTGAAAGATTAAATTAATAAAACATTAATGTTCAAGCAGAATATATATATATATATAATACAACAAAATCAAGGAAAATATTCTAAAAATGATAAAAACTATAACTGTTCTATTTAGTAAAAATTCTAGCAATTATATGAGTAAAAGTTTTGGTACAAAGAAGTAACATAATGTAATTTGATGAGAAATAGATAGGCAAAATGTGATGGGAACAGCACATAACTGACTACATTGTTAAAAAGCTGCATAAGATTATGAAAATTTCCTTTAAATATTTATTTCAAACTCTGTGAAAGATAGAAAGTAGGCTTTAGTTAATGTACTTAGGAAAATGTAAGTCAGTAATCCGATTTAGTCAATTCCGAAACAAAATAAAATATACCTGGTTTTCTCAAAAAGTAAGTTATTGTAAGTTAATGTATTGTCAGGCAAAGGGTATGTATAAAATTTAAAAAAGATATGTTAATTATTTTTACAAAAATAGTCATAAACGTAAAATTATCCCTTTGTGAAGCTTAAGTTCCAGGGACCTGACATATCCCAAAAGTTAATCAAACCGGATTACACGGTTTAAAGGCAAATTCAGATATAAATTCAGGCGAACTTGGGATACAGATCTGCACAAACTGACTAATAGAGATATAGTTATCTTTCTGAAAATAGTTTAGCTAAGCCTTTCTACCATGAAGACGCCGAAAACTAGACATATGAATTTTAATTTTCTTTATTACGCATAATGTGTTCGGTAATAAACAAGATGGTGATTAAATTGACGGCATTTAGTTCTTACAGATTACCTCAGTTTTAAATAAAATCACTAAGAATAAAATTGATGGAGAGGTCTATTAAATAGTTTTCGAGGACAAAATCAAACACCTGAAAATACAAAGATCATAAGTCCAAACTTTCCGTATTTCCTTAAAAATACGGTATTAAGTTAAATAAAGTTAGGTCAAACCAATGGTTTATATTGTAGCACTTTTCCCTTAAACAAGTGAAAATACTGCTTTTAAATACAGTCAATGTATACCTACCACATTATTAAAATTATTTTCATTCATAAACGAAACTATTTCTAGGATTGCATATATTTTTAAGGGTTTATTGCGTGATTTAACAAAAATAATTATATTTTTTAAATTCGTGGAATTCGATGTTAGGTTTTTGCGTTTAATAGAAATTTGTAAAAGCTTGCGGTTTCGGAAATATAAGGTGTCAAAAACTCAAATTTTACAAATTTCAAGAGGTGATAATTTGAGAGAGGGTGGAGATGGAAAAAAATTCCCTTCCAACGAAGTATTTATTAGTACCTAAAAGCTGCTGAAATTTCAGGCTCCTACAAGCTGGAGTCTAGAAGAAAAACGACATCAAAAATTTCGAAAAAACGGAATTAAGATAACGGTAAATTTAAACGGCCATTTCGTTTTTTTAAAGTTTGACTATAGTATGCCGCGATAGGATAAGCAAGCCGCTGCCTTTCTGCGTTTGCAAAATTTTGAAAATGCTTATGGTTTCTCTGCAATAAATAGTCAAAAAATGGCATTTTTAGGGTTTTTGGGAGGTATAACTTCCAGAGGGGGGGGGAGACAGGTAAAAATTTTGCTCTACGGAAATAAGTTTCTAGTAAAAATCTATGTACATATAAAATTTCAGCATTCTGTTTTCAAGGGAGTAGAAGTTTTGTAAACAGACAGACGGGCAGAGTGAAACTAATAAGCAATTTTTTCAAAAATTTTTTGGAAAAGTGCTAAAAAAGACTGTTCAACAGAGTACAAGACGCCGAGATACCAGGTTTCTATTTCAGTTTGTTGAATGAATAATGCAGAGAAAAATCCCTGAATTTCCAGCGGATATTTAAAAAAAGTAAATGCCTGCAGTCTTTAATGATTGCGAAGAGATTAAAAAGGAGGGCAACCATTTGAGAATTTGCATACGTTACGGAAATAATATGAAACGTCGGCCCAAGAGTGGCTGAAAAGAATTTCAGATGATAGACGATGGCAAAGAATTAAGTACATAATCGTACCAATATTGTCAGAGTTGTATGTATTGGTATCACAAGGATATTGAAATCGACATTGACGGATACGCTGGCTGAACTCGCAATAATAATCAAATATATCTCTTAATTGGAACTTAAGAAGAAATTTTTATACGCAACCACTTTCAGGCACAGTTCTGTTTCAGGTACATCTTGATTACGTCATCCATCTCTTCTGTAGTTGTATGAAGAAATATGCATTAGTTATTCTTATAAGAATTAACAATAAAATTATAAAAAAAAATAAACAACTACACGCTGTATTGGTAAATGATAATAAGTGTATAGAACTTTCAGAATAAAACTTATTCAGTTTCCTGAATAAGCTTTGTTTTCAAAGTTCAGCAGTATACACAGGAGGAGAATTTTGTTCTCCAAAACGGTATTTTCTTGTAGATTCCATTGCTTAACCTTAATTTTAAATAATCAATTTCGGTTTCTATTTAATTTAAAAAATAAATAAAACGTAAATTTCTAAATGTCGGCTTTTGCTACACTGTATAAAAATTGCTAAGTTACACAAGATTTTTATAATACAAGACAGTTTTTGTTAAATTTTGTTAAAGATCTTATTGGGATCTTGTAAAGGTATAACACTCAATGCAGTCTAACGTACCGATCTTGCTTATATCTAATAAGCAAGATCGGTATCTTATATTGTGTATGCCTTCAATTGAAACTATCGAGTTTTAATATTTATTTCAGGAAAAGCGTTTTATATGAAGCACTTTTTAGCACTTTTCCAAAAATTTTTTGAAAAAAAGTGCTTATTAGTTTCACTCTGTCCGTCCGTCCGTCCGTCCGTCCGTCCGTCCGTCCGTCCGTCCGTCCGTCCGTCCGTCCGTCCGTCCGTCCGTCCGTCCGTCTGTCCGTGTGTCTGTTTACAAAACTTCTACATTCTTAAAGATAGAAAGCTGAAATTTTATATATACATAGATCTTTACTAGAAACTTATTTTCGTAGAACAAAATTTTTACCTATCTCCCCCCCTCTAGAAGTTATACCCCCCCAAAGCACTAAAAATGGCCTATTTTAACTATTTGTTGCAATGAAACCATAAGCATTTTTGAAATTTCCCAAACGCAGAAAGGTAGTGGCTTGCTTCCCCTACCGCGGTATACTATAGTTAAACTTTAGAAAAACAAAATGGCCGTTCAAATTTACCGTTATCTAAAGTCCTTTTTTTCCAAATTTTCGATGTCGTTTTTCTTCTAGACCCCAGCCTGTACAAGCTTGAAATTTTAGGGACTTTTAGACATTAACAAGTAGTTCATTTCGTTTGAAGAAAATTTTTTTCCATCTCCACCCCCTCTCAAGTTATGGCCTCTTGAAATTTGTAAAATTTGCATTTTTGACACCTTATATTTCTGAAACCGCAAGCTTTTTCAAATTTCTATAAACGCAAAAAGTTAAAGGTAAATTCCATGACATTAAAAAATATAATTATTTTTCTTAACTCACACAATTAACGCTTAAAATCGAGCGTTATGTTAACCCCTTTTTATATTAATTTTTGCTTTATTTCAAAGACTGCATGATTGTATCATCCTAAATATATGCAATCCTAGAAATAGTTTCGTTTATAAATGAAAATAATTTTAATAGTGTGGTGGATGTACATAGACTGTTTTTAAAAGCAGTATTTTCACTTGTTGAAGGGAAAAGTGCTACAATACAAACCATTGGTTTGACCCAACTTTATTTATATTTAAACGAAGTAGTTTTAAGTGTTCTTTAGTTTATTTTCAAAACAAAAATGTAAAAGTCGTATTCGGAAAACTACCATACTTATACGTGTGGACACATTAGTAATTAAATAGTTGTATGCACAATAAAGGAATAATATTTAATACAATTTGTAATATAGATGATTATGATCTTTATTTGATAGTGTGAATATTTAATTTTTTATGATTAAAAATTAAATATATTGGTTTCTATAAACCGCAAATAATAAGCCAATAGAAACAAAATGAAAGACTACTATTAATTCTTAATATTTAATACTTACTGAACTGTTGGTCTGCCGCGTTTCTTTTTTGCTAAGAGAACCGCCTTATTCAGTAAACTTAATTCTATAATGCAAGGTTTGACACGGCACGCTTCCCCATCAACCTGCATAGGTATAGTTTTCGTTGTAACAATTTTCGCTGTTTTGCATTGGCATATACAAGTACCATGAGCTCCTGCTTGCAACATTGGCAATTGATAAGTTGTTAAGCCGACAACTTCTATCAATCCGTCTTCGGTCGATGGTGGCTGCCCAGCTGAATTATTCCATGGATGTGTTCCACCACCATAGCTACATTTTTAAAAACATATAAAATACGTATATAACGTAAAAATGTATAATATAACAAAAATAATATTTTATTTTCCATACAATAAATCCTGAGTTGTTATACATAAACATACCTTGGAATATTTAAAAATAAAATTGCATGGACGCGATGATCTTTCAATTTTGCTGTAAAATCTTGTCCATCACATTCCATAGTAACACAATCAGAAAGAGCTCTCCATTTACGTTGAAGGAGATCTTTTCCGCCTGCTTGACCATAAAACATTTTATTGCGTATACGTGAATTAAACCGTTCCGGATGAGCTTCTCGCGCTTCATGAAATTCCAATGCTATATGTGCATCAACCCCAAATGAAAAATAATTGTTTACAACATTTAATGGGAGATTGTCTTTTCCATCATCAGTCGGTTCAGCATCAGGGTTTGGTCTTAAATCTAATCTCCACCTATCTAACAATACCGGGTCCGATTTACCAATGTTCAAAAGAATTTTTCCAACAGGTTCATCAGTATATCCCTAGAAAGGTAATTCAAACATTTGTTGTAATGAATACAAAATGAAAGAATCTGTAGCCTACAAACATTAAAAGTCAGGCTATAGAAAAATCAAAAACTTTATAATTTTAAGAAAAATTTTACCCTTTTAATATTACTTGGGAATTTGCTTAATAAATTTGGATTAATGACAACATATCATGTACGAATTATACACAACTTTTCTTAAAAATGCTTTAAATTGCTGTTTAGTTGGTATAACAGAAACTTAAAGTTGGTATAACAAATAAGGATAAATATGCTCTGAGAACCACGTTAAATAACCACAAAACAATAAGAGTCGGTCGAAATGATAACTTGTTATTCATTTATCAACAAAGGCTTTAAAAAAACTTAAAAATAAAATTGATTAAAGTTTCAAACTATAGTCAATATAAATTTTTCATTTAGATTCAAAAATCGTTTGTAATTAACAAAAATCGGATAAAACGAGTTTTTTTTCTTAAAACTATTAAAACATCATATTAAACATCATTTTATCCGGTGATTTAATCCAATTTCACTGAAATTTTCTTACTCTACTACAATACCAGAACATTTGTTAAACTTTGTATTTTTAATTTGGTTGCATTTAACTTGTTAGACGTTCTTCAAACACAAAATAACAAAACGAGTTACAAGAAATAAAAACGTTTCAGTAGGTATAAACCGACTGAATTATCCCTCCACCTTTCATTGTTAGCAATAACTCGAACTTGTGAAACCGTTCTATAGAAATATCACGGACATGTCTGACCTATAATTGGACACACGACTGTCAAATTTCATGAATCTGACTTTATTATTTTTCCAAATATTTACAATTGTAGCGTCCTTTATTTTTAGTATATAAAATTTTTTTTGTAGTCTGGTGTAGGACAAATAAAGCAATGTTCTTTAACTTTTCACCAACGTTTCGATTTAATTTTAAATCTTCATCAGGGCTAAAATAATAATTTTATATGATAATAATGTTTTTACAATATGTCATACATTTCTTATATGTATACTTACATTAAGTTATTGAACAAATTTTAATTTGATTTTAACATAATTTAGTAAATCAATAGCTTTAATAAATGAATTTAATAAAATTTTTAAAATCGTCAGTTATTCCTTTTTAATAAATAATATATATATAAATAAATAAAAAAAATTAACACAAATTGTAAATGGAACAAAACTAGACTCTTACAAAACTTAAACTATGTTAAAAATAAAAATAAAAAAAAAATATCACGAATCAGCTAATTGTTGTTTTCATCTATTGTTTATGACGAAGATGGCAACGCTCGCGTCACCCTGATGATAAAACCGTTTTAAACAGACTTTCCCAGGTGCTTAAAAGAAAAATCCAAGAATTTAAATCGCCAACATACGAAAATTATATAAAGAACTTGCCAGCTACGAGGGAAACAAACTATTCCTTATGGAAGGCGGCAAAGAGCAAAAAGAGGCCGATTATTCACGCTCCGCCACTGATGAAAGCAAATGGCAGTTGGGCGAGGAGTAATGTAGAGAAGGCCAAATTGTTTGCTGATCACTTGGAAAGCATATTCACGCCAAATGGAATAATCTCAGATGTGGGTTTGGTAGAATCTATCGCAAATGAAGCAGACAGCATAGCTCCGCTTACTCAATTAGAAATTTCGGAAGAGATAAGATCCCTGAAGTTGAAAAAATCGCCAGGTTTTGATATTATTACTGCGGAAGTACTGAGAGAGCAATGGAACATCTGACGAAAAAATGCATGCAGCTATGGATTTTGGGTATGTTCCTTGTGCTTGGAAAGTCGCGGAGGTAATTATGGTGCCCAAACCCGGGAAATCCTTGAGGAAAACGAAGTCTTACAGGCCCATTTCACTGTTACCAATGATGCCTAAGCTGTTTGAGAAGAAGGAGATTGAAGCCAATAATAGAAAATAGGGGCCTTATACCGAACAATCAATTTGGTTTTAGAAGAAACCATTCTACAATAGACCAGGTCAATAGAATAACTAATATTATAGAAAAAAGCTTGGAAAATAAGGAAATCTACTCTTCTATGTTTCTAGGTGTAGCACAGGCATTCCACAAGGTGTGGCACAAGGGCCTTATACTTAAGTTAGGGCAAATGTTACCATCGTTATTTGTAGAAATTTTGAAATCTTACTTAGCTGACAGATTATTTAGAAATAAACAAGATGCTGAATACTCCACGCTAAGGGAAATAAAGGCAGGTGTGCCTCAAGGTAGTATATTGGGCCCAACGTTGTATATGCTTTACACAAGTGATTTGCCATAAATAGAAAATGCTACGATAGCCACTTTTGCTTACGATGCTGCAATATTGGCAGTAGGAGCGAACATTGACGATTCGGCAAAAAAATTACAGGCGGCAATTAACAAAATAAGCCAGTGGACTAGAAATTGGAGGGTGAAGTTGAATGAAGCAGAATCGGTTCACATAAACTTCACCAATCGGAAAATAGTGAATCCACCACAAATTAACGTAAATGAAACAAACGTAGCGATACATAACTCAGCAAAATACCTAGGAATGACTTTAGATGTCAAGCTAAGGTAGAAAGAGCATATAAAGAAAAACACATAGAATTAGAAAATAAATATGTATAGAGAAAATTATTGGCTCCTAGGTCGTAAGTCCAATTTGGTAATTGATAACAAGTAAAAACGTTTCAGTCGGTATAAACCGATTGAATAATACCCTGCACCTTTCGTTATTGTGCAGCAATTACTCGAACCTGTGAAGTCATTCTGTAGAAACTTCACGGATATGTCTGACCTATAATTGGACATCCGACTGCCAAGTTTCATGAATCTGACTTTATAATTTTTCCAAATATTTAAAATTAGCTTTTGGAGTTGTATGGCAAGTACCTGAACCTGTCAAACAATTCCATCAAAACTTCACAAATATATCTGATCTACAATCGGACACACAACTGCCAAGTATCATGAATCTGACTTTATTATTTTTCCAAATATTTAAAATATGCTTTTGGAGTTGTTTGGCAAGTCCCCGAATCTGTCAAGCAATTCCACTAAAACTTCACAAATATATATGATCTATAATCGGACACACAACTGCCAAGTTTCATGGATCTGACTTTATTATTTTTCCAAATATTAAGAATAAGCTTTAAGACTTGTATGGGAGCTACTCGAACCTGTCAAGCAATCCCATTAAAACTTTAGAAATATGTCTGACCTATAATTGGACACACAACTGCCAAGTTTCATCAATCTGACTTTATTATTTTTCCAAATAGTTAAAATTAGCTTCTGGAGCTGTATGGCAAGTACCCGAACCTGTCAAGCAATTCCTCTAAAACTTCACAAATATATCTGATCTATAATCGGACATCCAACTGCCAAGTTTCATGAATCTGACTTTATTATTTTTCCAAATATTTAAAATTAGCTTCTGGAGTTGTATGGCAGGTACCCGAACCTGTAAAGCAATTCCTCTAAAACTTCAGAAGTATATTTGACCTATAATTGGACACATGACTGCCAAGTTTCATGAATCTGACTTTATTATTTTGCCGAAAATAAAAAATTTGCTGTTGGAGTTGTATGGCAGCCACCCGAACCGGTGCAGCTATCCCATTATAATTTTTAGAGCATGTGTAGAATATAATTGGACACATGTATACAAAGTTTTATATTTATAGCTTTATTAGTTTTTGAAATATTTAAAATAAACTCTTTGAGTTGTATGGCAGCTACCCGAACCCGTTGTCCGAATTAGTCCAATAACAATAGGGCTCGTCCTTGGCACAAAAGAAAAAACTTGTGAAAGTTTGGTGTCGATTGCATTATTCGTTTTTGAGTTATCGTGCGAACGGACGGACGGACGGACGGACGGACGGACGGACGGACGGACAGACGGACATGTCTAAATCGACGCAGAATTTTACGCTGAGCAAGAATATATATATATGTCCATACCGCAGATGACTCCTTCAAGTAGTTACAAACTCCATACCAAAGTTAATATACCCTTCACGAAGTGCAGGGTATAATAAGATATTAATTTATAACCAAATCATTAAACTAATATGGCGATATGGCATTCAACTGTAGGGTTGTGCCAAGAAGACTCACATTAATCAAATTCAAACCTTCCAGAATAAAGTTCTACGAATTCCATTGGTTGTGGATGAAATTAGGAGTTGTGCTACAAAGCATAGGGCTCGTCTAGAATAAGACCATTCGATTTAACACGTAATACCAATTTCCTTATGGAAGATATTTAATTCCTGCACGGAAAAACCAAGTTAGCGCGGAGGTAATAGTTGGTCTGTAGGACCAGTTTTATCCATTCAGAATTTAGGTGATATTTTAGGATAGGAGTCACGTTCCCCCACTATCGGAGGAAAAAGGCAGATAGAGCCGTCCTTCTTTGTCTTTCGAGATTTTTTCACCTAGTTTACTCTATTGGGGTTGCCGTTTGTTTTAATTTTTTGAAATTTCATAATTACAGATTTATAAAATGAATTTAAGTTTTTAGCATCTTTTTTTTAATTTATGTTGTTTTTGTTTAATTCTATGTGCATCATTTCACTGATATTCCTCTTATACCAATTTTTCTCCCTGTCTACTATTTGTGTTTCCTTGAAATTAAAAGTGTGATTATGGTTAAAATGATGTTGTGCTAGTGCTGTTTTATCTGTTTTATTAATGTTTTGTATTTTACAATCATATTTATGTTGATTTAGTCTGTTTTTAAGAAATTGTTTTGTTTGTGCTACATAGCACGGTTCACACTCTTGGCAATTTATTTTATATATTAAGTGTGATTGATTCATTTTGTCTTCTTTATCTCTAAGTTTTGTGTAAAGTTTGTGTACTACGTTTTTGTTATAGAAAACGAATTTATTGCTTTGCATTTATGGTTTAAAGACATTTTTGATTTTTCTATTTCTGGAATATGTTGAAATTTTAAAAATTTGGTGTTGAGTGAATTTGGGGAGAATGTTTCTTGTATGTTGTTTTTATTGTTCCTGTTTTTGTATTCCCTAATTATTTCATGTATGAAAAATTTTGGATAATTATTATTTTTTAATATGTCTTTCATTTTTTGTACGTTCTTTTCTATGTATACCTCAGAGCTTGATGAGTAAATTTTATCTAACATATTTCTTACTACATTTCTTTTTTGTTGGATTTGATGTTGCGACAGAAAATTTAATATTCTGCCGGAAACAGAAGGTTTCAATTACTAATCTGTGGAGATCGTTCCATCATTATTTCTTATTAATAACGTATGTAAAAATGCTAGCCTATTGTTTTTTTCGGACTCCGATATGAATTTTATTCTATTGTGAAAACCATTGAAAGCTCTAACACTGCGTCTACCTTGTCTTTCGGTATTGCCCTTAATAAATCATCTACATATATTTTCGTTATAGGGATTTTGAATTTTAATTTTTTAACGGTTGCCATTATTAAGTTGTTCATTATTAAATTAGCAAATGAAGGGCTAACTGGATTACTCATCGCTGCTCCATCTAGCTGTTGAAAAACTTTACCGTAAAAGCTCTGTCAAGCAATTCCACCTAAACTTCAGGAACGTATCTGACCTACAATTGAACACAACGAGTGCCAAGTTTCAAGAATTTGACTTTTTTATTTTTTCTAATATTTAAAATTAGCTCCTAGACTTGTATGTCAGCGCATCAAACCTGTCCTGCAATTCCAACATAACTTCAGGAATATATCTGACCCATAATTGGGCATACGACTGCCAAGTTTCATGAATCTGACTTTTTTATTTTTCCGCATATTTAAAATTAGCTTTTGAAGCTGTATGGCAGCTGTCCGAACCTGTTAAACAATTCCGCCAAAACTTCAGGAATATATCTGACCTATAATTGGACACAACGGCTGCCAAGTTTCATGAAATTGACTATTATTTTTCCAAATATTTAAAAATAGCTTCTGGATTTGTATGGCAGCTACTGGAATACTAAATCTGACCTACAATTAGACACACAGTTGCCAATAAAATTTCAGGCAGCCACCCGAACCTGTTCAGACATCCCATTAAAATTTTTATAGCATATGTAGAATGTAATAGGACACACATATACAATGTCTATATATACCAAATTTCGTATATATACCTAAAATTAGAAACACGTATACAATAAAACAAATTTATTAGTTTTTGAAATATTTAAAATAAACTATTTGAGTTGAATGGCAGCTAGCCGAACCAGTTTTGCGAAATAGTTCAATTACAATTTTGTCCAAGGGTTTGTCGTTGTCAAAGAAATAACTTGTAAAAGTTTAGTTTCGATTGCATTATTCGTTTTTTAATTATCTTGCGATCGGACGGACATGTCTAAATCAACGCAAAATTTTAAGCTGAGCAAAAATATATATACATATGTCTATATGCATATGGCTCCTTCAAGTGGTTACAAACTCTATAAGTTAAAGTATTGTATATACTTGTAATTTTGTAAAAATTTTGAAATTGATTTTAAAAGTTTTCTTTCTTATTTTTTTATCTCTTTTTTTATTAAAAATAAAAGTGTTCAGTTTATGAAAATTATTTTATTCTGGAGAAACATCTTTTTTAATAATTGAACTTTAGACTAATCTCTTAAAACAGAATCTTTGGAATTATAGAGGATAAAAAAACCTTTTTAGAAAAGGGCCGGCTCAATTCTTTATTTATTTTAAGTTAAATTTTAATGTTTGTATGTAGCAGAGCGTCATTACTACTATCATAAACGCGGATATTTTTTTAAATTTTTCCACTGGTTGTAATCTATATTAATTAGACTATAATATTAAAATAAGAAATATTACCGATAACAAATTTAATGGCCCACAAGCTGGTGTGGGTTTGTGGAAACGCGAAAAAAAGCATAATTGATCCATCAGAGGAAATATTTTAAGAAGATCTATATTCATTATTTTCTAAACATTTTTTTCTATTCTTAAACTGTCACTTCTTTCAATATAATTAGAAATTTTTCTGAAAGCCAAGAATTAATGACTAGTTCACGGCAAAATTATGGTTGAATACAAAACTATTCTTAGAAATTTATAACCAATACAAATTATATACATACGTAATACTTACAAAAATATTGTAATTAAATTAATATAAGACTACTTACTCCTCCCCAACCTAAAGCTCGTGCTAGGTCGTTTCCAGTACCTAAAGGCAAGACTCCAACAGCTGGAGGAGGTTGAATATTAATTACATCTAACACAGATAAAACCCATCCAACAGTACCGTCACCACCACATGCAAGAACTCTAAGCTGTGGACTTTTTCTGAAGAGCTCCAAACTGTAAGCAACACATAGGAAATTAAATATAAATTACTTGCTCTTTTTTGTGAAAATAAACATGGATGTGAACATAAGGTAAGTGGGCTTATGAAAAATGAACAGTAAAACAAAATATTTTTATATATTTTTTTAAAATATCTTTTATAATGAATGTATTATTAGCTTTTTAATTAACAGTCGCTCACGTAGCAGATATGTAATTAAAAAGCTGAAGATTTTTCAAACATGGATTATCGACATATAAATGAGAAACAAAATGAAAATCTAATCGTCGCCGCTAGAAGCGGTTTTTATGAAAGGTTCATCTTTAATCTACAAACTTCCAGTCTATGACTTGACGGAATTCCATTACGGAAAATGAATTACTTAGAGATTTATAACTTACTTGAACTCTTTTAGAGATAGATTTTTCAAGTTAAAAGGAAAAACAAAAAATTATATTTTGTTTTATTTCTTAATTTAAAAATAGATTTTTGGGAGATATTTTACAAAGTGCGATGTTTACGTTGTATTAATTCTTTTAATCATTACCCATTAAGCCTTTTACTTGAAATTGTAAAATTGTTATATTTAAACACTTTTTTACTGCTGGTAAAACCTGAAGAAAAGGCCGTTTATGTGCAAGTTAAATTTTCAAATATAGCGGTTCATCAATGAAGGAATAATAAATTAGGTATAAATATATATAAGTGCTGTATGAATATTGTAACAACTTTTTTAGATTCAGCGCAAAAAAGATTGTAAATATGTATGTATATTCTTATTTTTGGAAGATAGTATTAGTTGCATACAGCTTAATTTTATAAAAGAATTAATGAAATTAATGCAAATGATAAAGTCATTACAAGTGGCTTTGAAAGTTGCAAACTTTTTCTTTGCGAGCGCTATATTTTGAAGTTAGTTAATTTGCACATTAATAGATTATTTTCAAATGAATTTATTCACAGGAAATAAAAATTTTTTAATCAAATAATTACCCCATTCTCGGGCCACCCTGTGTAAGATCGAAAACTTGTCTTGGATTTAAAATCCATTGAAATTTTCCAAGTAATTTCACTCCCTAAAATAAAACTACATCAATTAATGTACAACACAAAAACTATATTAAATTTTGAAAATTTTTACCTGATTTCCACCACTTTTTGGGTTAATAAAAACTATAACAGGTGTGATGTTTGAGGAAGGGATAGGCTTTACAATAAATGCTTTGTGTTCTTTTTCCTTTTTATCTTTTTCTTTTTTTTTATTTGTTCCAGCACGTTTTTTTGGTGTTCTTAGAGATGATTTAAAGTTTCCCTTTTTAGGTAATTTTACAATCCATGAAGGTGGCACAATTATACTTGCAAAAGTACCTAAAACAATTTAAAGTATGAGAATCATGAAATTGAACAAAATTTAAATATATGACACACTCACACGCATATACAGGAAGATTCAGAAAAGTATACAACAAAATATACTATTCTTAAGAGGGTCGAAAATGGGCAAACCTTTTGTTCAGGACTAAGTGCGAGATCTCAAGGGTTCTGAGTTCCAGAGATTCTACTTGTTCAAGTTTTTTTGATTATAACTTCTGTTCCGAAAAAGATAGGGGCTTTACAGTTTCTAAAAGACCTAGGCTTAAAATAAACATTACAATCAACCAGATAATATAGAACGAAGTTTTTTGAAGCATTTAAACTCCATATAAACTTGGAATTTATTTCTGATTAACTCTCTGAGCTTGTTGGGCTGATAGATGTATCTGATGATGATAATATGCTGATGTAATATTATTGTGACATTTTTGGACACTTTCTAAATCTTATGTTTATTGGCGTTTATTTCGAAAAGGTTGTGTGTAAAAGTATTAAAATTATTAAGAACTGAAAATGTATTAAAAAAGTTTTTTTTTAATTTCAATTAAGTTTTAGTGATTTTAATATAATGGAACATTTAAAAATATCAATACCGTGCATAAAGAAATAATTAGCTTTATTAGTTATTGAGTTAAAATAATGAATTATTAACTTTTCAGCTTCCATTTAAAAAAAATGTTCATCAATACAAAACCACTATATTTATTACAATATTAATTATACCGTATTATACCGTATTACTATATTAATTTATGCAAAATTTCAGTAATGTGTTATATCAGTAATACTCGTATTATTCAGTAATATTTGCTTAGATATGGCCAAACTAGATATCACAAATATCATAAATATTTTTATCGTGTTTGTTGTTTTATTATTTGCATACTTAACTTTTCATAATTTCTTTTGAGGAAAATTGTTTTTTGAGAAAAATATGGATAGCCAAAAATTTTCAATCTCCCTTAAAAAATGGTACATTTCACGTACCATGCCAAGTAAAAATTTTTCTTGATAAGAGTCTAAAAAATGCCACAAGTACCATGAAAATAGCACATTTTTCAGCACTGTTCATATAATAAAATTTGTTATTTATATCGTATTCGTATAATCAATCGTATTGTAGAAAGTGTAAGCAGGTTTTGCTAACAAATTAAATAAGCTCGCTATGCAGTAAAAGACAATATATAATACATTATTTATTCCTGATAAATATTGTTATAAAAATGTTACTAAAAACTTTTTTCAAACTAAATAAAATCAGCAGGAAAATATAATTCGTGAATAAACCATAATTCATAATGCATATGAAATAAATTTATTTTCATAAATGGGAACAAAGTTATATTATGAATTTTACTAATACAACATCATAGTTGTGAAATTAATAAGTATGTGCTTATTACACTAATAATTTAACTTAATGGAAATTTCTTCATGCAACTGCAGAACAGGTGGATGACGTAATCAAAGGAACGAGTTAAAGGCAGAAAAATTAATTAAAAAATTTTTCTCCTGGAACTGGACTCGAACCAGTGACCTACCGCTCCCTAGGCGGACGCTCTACCAACTGAGCTACAGAGGCATGAAGAAATTGCCGACGAATTGTTCTCTACATTGCTTTATGTTCTCACAATGTGTTTCAATAGTAGATTGTATGTAGCAGTCAATGTAAACAAATCAAATACTTAATATTGTGTGTTTCAATAGTTTTCAAATATTGAAACACATTGTGTGTTTCAATAGTAGATTGTATGTAGCAGCCAATGTAAACAAAACAAATACTTAGTAATCATGTGGATTACAGTATAAAGCAATGTAGAGAACATTTCTTCGGCAATTTCTTCATGCCCCTGTAGCTCAGTTGGGCAAAATTTTAAGTTTTTCTCCGTAGAAATCAAATTTGTCTCTGCGTAGTTTAGTTAGTCTTGTGTTTAGCAATGATTCAAGGCATATAGGTTTTCTTACGTTCACCACTTTTTGCATTTTAAATTTGCTCACCAATAAAAACATACTCACCGTGTTAAAACACGAATGTATGTACATTAGTAATTTCTTTAATGAAGAAAGAATAATTTAAAATTAGATAAAGTAAGCTATTGACTCGTAAAATATTAAAAATTCATTCATATACCCGCAGCGCTAATTATAGTCAATCAATGGTTAATGATTTGAAACGTACATAAACTTAAATTTCAAAACAGAAAATACATAATTCATCTCTCTATGCATTGTTGGTATGCTATAGCACCTATACAATGCGCATGAGTCACATGTTTAGTATGAACATAGTAATGCTCTGCAAGAATAAATTCATATTGAAATTCAACTAAACATATTATACAGACGTCATATACACATTAGGTTCTACATAAACTTAACATATTAATTAACAAAATATGTTATAATATCCTTAATAAAGTTGATAAAACCGTGATATAACCGAAGTAAAATCAAATATAAATTTTCATGAAAATCGGTTCAGCGGAAATTGAGATACAGACCCGGACAGGTAGACCACATACCTATTAGATGTAATCCGGTCAGTAAAAACTGCGATTGGGCACGATAATACATATATAAATATCATATTGCCTATCAGTGTGCATAGGTCTTACGTACATTCTATGGTATATATGTTAAGGGCTCTGTACGTGAAGCTCTAGAACATTATAACCTTTTCGTGTTTGCTAACCATCTTTTAACAATGTGCAAATGTTGTTTTCTACCGTTTTCTTTTATTTACTTTATATTTACACACACTATGTCGGATGTGTCGATCAACCTTAATTCTTATATAATTATTATGTGCATATATACACATTTACATATTCGTGAATATTATTTTTTCTTTTATAACATAATATAAATGAATGTAACTAACGCAAAACTTTTTTTGACTACTTAAGTTTATAAATAAAACCAAACATTAAAAAACCCTTTTTGGAGTATTACTTTATTTTATACGCGTTATTATGTTTTATGCACGAATTATTTTTCTTTACTGATTTTATTCATTTTGCAGAAAATGTATGATAAAACAATTATATTAAGAATAAATTGTACATAAATGTATGTTATCCAGGGCTGTCGTTTGGCTCCGATTTGAAAATTTATGTCCCCGGCTCCTCTTTTCACATTTTGGCTCCGATTTTTCCAAATGAAAAATATTAAATTTTTAAATAAGAAAAAAAATTGTTGTGCAATACGACGAATTTGTTGTCAAAACTATGGCTAACGAACTTATGTACATATACTAATTTCTGATAAATTGATGGACGATTTATTCACCTATTTTTTAGTAGTCAAGTTAATAAATTAGTCAGTTAATGAAAAATGTAGAAATTAACTCCACTTTTTAAAAAATAGCTCCCTCTTAAAAATTGTTCGGCTCCCCATCGAAAAAATCAAACGATCAAAATCAAAGCCCTGATGTTATATAGCTTCTGCTGCGCAAAAGGCTTGTTAAACAAATAAGAAAATAAACATAACACGAATAATAAAAAATCTGATGTGGTCAGCACATAACCGACCGCATTGTGTATTGTCTAGTTGAGTGAAAGTGTTACAGAATATTAAAAAAATGTCTGTTAAGTACTTTTTTCCAATTTTAAGGACATTTGTAAGCTTATGGTTAACATATCTAGAAAAATGTAAATTTGGCTCTTAGTACAGTTTCGTTTTGTGCTATCCGAATTCCCTGAAATGCCCACCAGTTAGTTTTGGTAATACCCAGAACTCAAATATCAAATTTCAAGAAATTCCGTCAATTCGTTCCGTAGATATGGTAAAAAATGTAAAATCGGCCCGCAAATCAGTTTTCGAGCCCTGATCTTTCCAAAAAATTTATATGTTCATTGTTTTAATACGAGGAATTCATATATTAAATTTGAATGAAATCGGTTGATTATTTCTCTTTATATTCACAAAAATGTATATTTGGCCCGTAGTAAACATCTAGTTGCCGATGCCTGATCTTTCCAAAAAATTTCCATGTTCATTATTTTAATACGAGCAATTCAAGTATTAAATTTCAATGAAATCGGTTGATTATTTCTCTTTATATACACAAAAATGTATATTTGTCCCGTAGTAAACGTCCAGCCTGATTTCTTCCAAAAGTTAAGAATTTTCGCGGACGGTCAAGCAAAGCTCATATATGAAATTTCAAGTAAATCGGTGAAATATTTTCTTCAAAATGGTGGAAAATGTGAAATCGGCCCGCAAATCAGTTTTCGAGCCCTGATCTTTCCAAAAAATTTATATGTTCATTGATTTGATACGAGGAATTCATATATTAAATTTCAATGAAATCGGTTGGTTATTTCTCTTTTTATACACAAAAATGAATATTTGGCCCGTAGTAAACGCCTCGTTTCCGATGCCTGATTTCTTCCAAAACATAAGATTTTTCGCGGACGGTCGAGCTGAGTTTATATGTAAAATTTGAAGTAAATCGGTTGAATACTTTCTTCAAAATGTTCAAAAATGTAAAACAGGCCTGCTAAAAAGTGCAGTTCCCGAGGCCTGATATATACCAAAAGTTGATCAATCCGTGCCATGGTAAAAATAAACTTACATATAAAATTTCATCAAAATCGGTTAAGCAGAACTTGAGATACACGCGTGCACACACAGACCGACAGACCGACAGACCGACAGACCGACAGACCGACAGACCGACGGACCGACAGGTTGCTAAAAATAGTTTACTTACACTTCCCTACTGTGGAGAAATGCATTCCCACCGAAAACTCGATATGCAAAATTTGTTGCCATCACATAACCTACCTATTGTTTACACAATACGGTCGGTAAAAAGTTCTGCAACAAATCTGTGTACAATTATTAATATAATATACCTACCTAAAATGTTAGGAGAATTCAGGATAATTTTTTTTGTTTTGTTTTTCAAAGTTATTCTTCCGAAGATGAAGAATATAAGCGAAAATACACAATGGTTCCATCATCGGATTTGGCTTGTATAATATAATATAGATTTATTTATTCATTATTTAGATGATATCTTAATTTTGTTTCAATATTTTCGAATACATTTAAACTACATATTTCACCGATTGGCAGTAGGGGCTTCTAGTACAAGATATAATATATATAGATTTAATACTTTTTTTTAAGTTAACATACCAAATGGACACTCTTCGTTCATTCTTCCTTCCCAAAAGCACGATTCTTTGTTATGGAATGATGTTTTACACCAAGCGCATGTTAGAGCAACAACATCTTTAGACCCAAATAATTTTCCTTGGATTGCCTACAAGAGTGTAATGAAATTTAAAACAAATAAAATTTGAAAGTTGAATTATTCCAGGACAAACACAAGAGCTTTTAATAAATCGATAAGTTTTACTTTTTTAATTTTAAATACAAATCTATTTGAAAGAATGTAGAAAAATTATTTATTATTTATGAAATCGAGTTTTTATAGATATATTGGAGGTATTTGATATGACGTATTGCAGTATTTTGCAGTATTATCTCAGAGCGACGGCACTGGAAATAGCCATTAAGATTTATGAACGTTAAGTTCAACATTAAGAATATAAATCCAATGGGCATATTTACCAAACTACCGGAAGAGACCACAGCGATGGCTTGCCTGAATGTTTAAGACTATCAAAGAAGTCGTCAGTGAAAAATATGAGAACATTCATGAACCGGTTTGTTAAGAGCCCAAGAGTTTTAAGCTCTCCCACAATGACGGGACGTTAAAAGGAAGAAGACAACAAAAGTAAAATCTCTGTAAGAAAATAAAAAGCCCGTTACATCAAAAAAATGGACCAATGATCGATTCGCGTATAAAAGATGGGAAAAGCTGCGTAAAGAGCTAAGAAAAGAAATCTGGAAACTCAAGGCAAAAAATCTAAGATTATGGGAACTGCAGAATACAGTTTCGAACACCGAGAATAATAAGATAGGTGAAAAGGAAATTTATTGGATTCTTAAAATCAAAAGAAACTCAAAGAAGAAAAAGCCAAAAGATTACCCGAAATGGAACAGACACAAAGAATGAATAGCACTAAAGTACAGAAATCTCCACCAAAGAAAAATGCTGAATTTAAAAAACATAAACCTCCACAGCTAAAAGTGAGTAAAATAACCAATTACACGCAGTTACAGTAGTATTGTTGCGAAAACAACATGATGAACAGTGTTAATTAGAAATGTTGAAAATGAAAATGAATGTATAGACAATTAACTAAAACTCTTAATAAAGCCAAATTGGAATGACATACTTATGAAAATAAATTGATAAGGCCAATCAAAATATTAAAGGATGTAAAAGATGTCATAAATAAAATTAAGAAAATAAAAGAATGTAACGTGAATACTATTAAAAAGTTTCCCTTTTCATGTTTTGTTTCGATTATACCGAAAACGTAGCTAAAATATATAAATGGAAGGCCTTTTAGAAATAATGGCCTTCCATTTATATATTTCCATTTCTCAATGCAAGATAAGTCAGAGGTTCGGGAATAAACAAAGATATTGCCAAAGACGGGTCAAATGTGTTAAATGCGTTGGTAATCATATCACGGCAAAGTAATGAGAAAGATCATTTTCAGACCCAGTGTGCAAACTGCAACGAGGCACACCCTGTAGTTACCGATGCTGTTTAGTGGCTAAGTATTTACAGAAAAGGGGATAATTATGAAATGACCCAAAGAAAGATTAATACTTTTACATCAATTAAAGTAAAAAATGGTGTCACATTCTTATACGGATGGCTTCCGAAATTGTAGAAGATTATATAGATGAAAGACATGAAAACTAAAGAAATTGACAGTAATATATTGGAAAAGTCTAAAGAAATTGACAGTAACGCAATGTAAATGATGCAAGACATGCTATTAAGAATTGATGAAATTTCAATGAGATTAACTACTAGAACAGATATACTAACGAATACCTAGCAATCCCGAAGCGAATTGTAAAACCATTGACCCCTGGAAACCATTAAGCGTGATGAAGAATCCAAAATAGAGCTGAAGAAAGTTTAATTTATTGTGGTTGCAATTGAGTCTACCAAGCAAACTTCAATGTCGTTTCAGTATATTTAAAATATTTGTAAAACCATTATGCGTTTGCAAAATTTGAAAACTGCCTATGGTTTTACTGCAATAAATTTTCAGTGTTTTAGAAAATTTTATTCTACGAAAATAAGTTTCTTGTAAACATCACTGTATATATAAAATTTCAGCTTTCTATCTTCGAGGGTAAAGAAGTTTTGTAAACATGTCCACGGACGGACAGACGGACGGGCGGACGGACAGAGTGAAACTAATGAGCACTTTTCAAATTTTTTTAGAAAAGTGCTTAAAAAGGAAATTAATTGTAAGCTCTGGGCACGAAGACGACAAAAAATGTTTAAAACTAGAAACACGGGTTCAGAGAACTAATGATGTCAAAGATGCTTAAACTTTAAATTATTATAAGAAGCAGTTTTGAAGGGACGATAGCCTGATCTTAAAAAAAATATTTTTAGTGTCTTATAAAAGTAAAGATGTCGCAAAAGTATGATATTTCAACAGTCACGACCCTAATATATTCGTCGCCCTAAGCGTTTCCTAAAACGTGCGCCTCCCCTCCCTTTCACCTATTTTATTACTGTGAACAAAATGTAATAGGCATTGTACATTGTGCATCATGAAGCACTTTGTTGTAACCTTATCATGGTGAATGCAGAACTAATTATAGAATTGAAGCCTGGAACTAATCTTTCAGTTTCTTGTTTTATAAATTCAACAACAAGGTAATTTATTTAATTGTATTTTATGAAGTTATGATCAGATTTATTTCAATCATTTGAACTTGATTTTTTGATTTTAACAACCAAAAATTTAATGAAGTTTATTATACAAGGTTTTAAGAAAATAATATCAAATGAACTTTTTCAAAACTTACGTATTTGAATATAAAAAAAATAAAAATTTATTTACTTACATACTTAAATGATTGGGCATAGCGAAATTTAACTCGTCATTAAGAATTTACGAATAAAATTTCTCTAGAATTTACTTTTTATTTCATAAATTGTCTGAGAAATAAGCAGTGTATAAAAAAAGTTTCGACTTGCATTTAAAAATTTAGGAAAAATCAAAAATTTGGTCTAAAATTTGTGACTTAAAAACTAAGCTTTTTATGTACGAGTACATATGTAGGTATAGATAGCTTTTATGATGTTCATTATATTTTTTAGATTTTATTAAAAAATGCATTTTCTGGTATTTATTGACTTGTGATTTTGAAATTTCAGAATGCCGTTTTAATTCTGGAGACATTTCATTTTACTTTTATTAGTTGGATGATTTACACTACATCACTTACACATAAAATTCTTAAAATTCGCTTGATTATTAAACAACATTTTTTCAAATATATATGAATAGCAGATATAATCAATTAATATTTAATTCTGTGATTGATAACAGCTTTTTCAAAAACGAAAGCATAATTGCCAAACATGCCAGCAGAAATTCATAATGATCATGTGATTTTGAAATTTATTCAAAATTTTTTGTTGTTAAACAAAAAAAATCTGAAGTGTTGAGCATATAACCGACCGCAATGTGTATTGCCTAGTTAAGTGAAAGTGTTACAGAATATTGTAAAAATGTCGGTTAATACTTTTTTCCATTTTTTACGACATTAGTAAGCTTATAGTTAATATACCTAGAAAAATGTAAATTTGGCTCTTAGTAGAGTTTCGCTTTGTACTACCCGAATTCTCTGAAATGCTTTCCAGCTAGCTTCGGTAACAACCAGAACACAAATATCAAATTTCAAGAAATTCCATCGATTCGTTCCGTAGATATGGTGAAAAATGTAAAATCGGGCCGCAGATCAGTTTTCGAGCCCTAATCTTTCCAAAAAATTTATATGTTCATTGTTTTAATACGAAGAATTTAAATATTAAATTTCAATGAAATCGGTTGGTTATTTCTCTTTATATACGCAAAAATGTATATTTGGCCCGACGTAAACGTCCAGTTGCTGACGCCTGATTTTTTTCAAACGTTAAGTGGTTTCGCGAATGGTCGAGCTAAGCTTATATATGAAATTTCAACTAAATCGGTTGAATATTTTCTTCAAAAAATGTAAAACAGGCCCGCTAAAAAGTGCAGTTCCCGAGGCATAAGATATACCAAAAGTTGATTAATAAGTGCCATTGTGAAAATAAACTTACATATAAAATTTCGTCAAAATCGGTTCAGCCAAACTTGAGATACACACGTACCCACACAGACCGACAGACCGACAGGTTGCTAAAATAGTTTATTTACACTTCCCTACTATGGACAAGTGCATTCTCACCGAAAACTCGATGTGCAAAGTTTGTTGCCATCACATGACCTATCTATTGTTTACACAATATTGGCGGTAAAAAGATATTGGAATGGAATACACAATCTCAATATTAAGCTATGCATTCCATTATTTAAGAACATTGTTCTCATTCTCTTTTTCTATTTTCTTTCTATTCTCATTCTACATTTTTTTTGTTCTTGTTTTTTACTAATGCAATAGAATACAGAAAAAGTAATACATTATAATACAGGAATCCCTCGATATACGTCGTTTTTGGTTCCGGCCAAACACGACGTATATCAAAACAACGTATATCGAAAACCCATATAGAAAAAGTATGTTTTTTTACTAGAAAAATACTGATAAATACATAGTTGTACGTTTGCATATTTATTTAAAAATTCGTACATCTAATACATCATACCTTCGTAATTAATTATACATATAATATGTTCGTTTTTATGCAATAATAAGTCTTTAAGTTCACAAAATGTAAATATGTATGTTTTTATTTAGATACATACAACATAGTAACAAATGCAACAAAACATAAAATTAAAGCATAAACAAAACGAAATTAACAAAAAAAAATATAAATATATATCTATGTACTTTGTACATACATTATGCAAAATTCCAAAATTCATCATTATGCATAAAATTTTAAACAAAATTTTTTATTTTAAGCAAAAATGTATCAAAATTTATGAAAAAAAAAAAATTTCTCAACGACGTAATCAAATCTGAAACAACGTATATTAAGAACGAGGAACAAAAATCTCGCCGACGTATATCCAAACGACGTATGTAGGGCCGACGTATATCGAGGGATTCCTGTAATGTGTTTGTTTCGTGAGTGGGCGACAACTCAGCATAATAAAAATCTCGCTTTATGAAAAAATTATATGTGTACGCATGTGTGTGGATCTTATCCATATTAGACAA